CAGGCATTCTGGGCTCTGCTCCCACTGCTCACCTCAGCATTCAGCCTCTCCAGACCAAGGATCCTGCCACCACCCCCACCCCATGTCCTCCCACCCACCCCTTGAGGGCTGTGCCACACAGACACTGAAGACAGCCTGAAAAAACAAGGGCCCTGCTTTGTTACTTCCTTCTTGCAAAGTGTTTCCAGGGAAAAGATCTAGACCAGAACCGAATCATTTGTCTCTGTCTTAACCAGGGCTGGTCCTCCCACAGAACCTGACAAGTGGATGAAGTTGGTGGGCTGTTTAAAGCAGATGGTTTGCAAATACTGTAAAATCAACATTACTTTTGGCTTTTATTTACTGCAATGTTTCACCTCACACCTCGCACTAAGATAGCTGATGAGGTCCCTCTGTGCCTGGGCTCTGTTTCCCCTGTTTCTTTCTCCTCTTGGGGAATCCTTGTTTCTTGCCTTACTCCAATCTCCCCCATGGCCCCTTTTCTTTTACTGGCTGCCCATAGCCTTATTGTACCTGTCCTTGCTGTCCCTCTTGACCACCCTCTCCCCTTGCATGCTCCATGATCAGCTGAAACGTTCACCTCTTCTCTTCTTCCTGCCTTTGCTTCTAAAGGCTGCATCTGCTCCTTACTTACACTCTGCTTCCCCCAGCCACTTCCAGGCTATTTTCTCTTCCCTCCCAGTACTCACTACAGAGACCTGTCTTCCCCTTTGTCTCTAAAGTGAACATGTGCATCAGAGAACTGTTGAATCAGAGTCACAAGGGACAGAGCTAGCGTGACACTGGCAGTCACTTCTGAGTTAGAAGCACTCTTTTATCATTTTTACTAATGGCTGCTCTTTTGTTCCTCTCTATAGCAGGAAGGACTGGGGAAAAGAAAAACAAAGCATCAGGACCACCACCACAGACCTTCACCAACACCATCCCAACCTTTTCTTTCCTGTCTCAGCACACACACACATGTATGCATATGTGTGTGCATAAACACACCCATCTGCACGTGTGCACACATGCACAGGACTGCACACCCACACTCCTTTAATGTGTGCTCCAAAAAATGTGTGTGTTCCAGGCTCCACTGAGACACAGAGCTTCTTCTCCAGGTTCCCTTTCTCCTCCAACTAGGCTCATCTGTGCTTGTCCACCCCAAGGTGGACCCTGGACACACAGTTATAGTCTGAGATGTCAAGGAGGGACAGTGACAGTGGATTCCTCTCCCCGGGTCAACTCCTGAAGGAGGGGAGGCCAGCAGGGGTTCAACAGTCTGATGGATCAGGAAGCTCTTTTCAAGCCAGCTCTTGCCCTGGGTCACACTCAATCCATCAATCCCTCTATTGATCCACAGTCAATGTTCTTGGCTTCTCTCTGGGCCACTGGGCAAGGCAGTTTCAAACACAGAAAATCAAGAGAGAAAATGAACAGGGCCCAGCAGAGACACCCTTGAAGCTGTCAAACAATGCCTCTAACATTCAGCATTTTTAGCCAGTGCTTCTCCAAACACTTGACAGAATCCAGGATGCTGCTTTCCTTGTAGCTGGGGAAATGAGGTTACATCCAAGTAGGCCCTGGGGATCTGTGAAAAATCCACCCCCTCTGCTTCCCAGCCCTTGGCTCCTCTCAGTGTCTGTTTCTCCATGTTGGAGACACTCTCTCCTGTCAGCCACAGGGAAGAGGATTACTACCCAAGGAACAATCACTGGGGAGGACGAAAGTCTCAGCTGGCAGTGGCCAGGAGGTCAGCCTGGCTCTGGCAGGGACTCTCCCCTGCTGCAGCTTCAGTTCTTGCCCCTGCCTGCTTCCTGCTCAGACTTGCTTGGTGCCTGTGGCCCTGGAAGGCTGCACCTTAATTCTCAGTGCAGCAGCAGGAGAATGGGTGGCGAGCTGCCCTGGGAGCCCTCCAGGTGCGTGGGGTGTGCGGGTGAGCTCCAACAGGCCCCACCAAGTCCAGCTCCACCCTGCTGTTCGGTGGCCAATGTGGGGGTGTGGTCTGCGCTTAGTTGCTCTCTGGGAAAAGCTCCCAAGCCAGGGAGAAAGTGGGGAGAGGTCAAGGACAGGAGAAAGACCCATTTCATTTCCCTGCCCTCGCTTCCCACTTCCCCCACTGCCTCTGCACAGACCTGAGAAGAGCAGATAAAAAAGTCAGAATATTCTCCACCTGTGTTCCCCTTCAGATCAATTAATTAACCAACCCCATTGCCAATAAATACTATTATAAAATGTGTGCATACATAAGCGCACTTAAAGATGCTGTGAGGACAGGAGTACACCTGTATGCTATATGCATGCATAGGTAGTCATGCAGTTCAGCTTTTGTTTCTTGCTCTCTTTCTTGCAGGCAGCTTCAGACAAAAAGCCCCCGGCCCTCAAAGGGTTCATCTCATCATGGGTGCCACATAGTTAGCAGGGAAGAGGCCCAGTTTGTTGTTCAGGCAGCCGGTCCACCAGGAGGGGTTGGAGCTGTCCAGGACCTCGACCACCTCTCCACTGCGGAATCCCAGCTCGTCTTCCTCAAGGGCTTCAAAGTCATACAGTGCCCTGGCCCAGCGTACACGCTGTGGGGGAAGCACAGAGATGCTCTGCTGAGCTGTGGCTGGACCAGCTGGCCTTCAGAGCTGCCACTGTCACACAGAGGGGACCTGAGGGCTCCTTAAGCCACACTGCGTTCTCCTCATGCATGGCCCCAAGTGTGAAGCTACCAGAACTCCCTGGCTTCTTCTTCGTCTTCTTTTTTTTTCAGTACAGTACTGGAGATTGAACCCAGGGTCTTCGCACTGAGCTACATTGAGAGATCTTTTTAAAATTTTTTCAAATTGTGAGACAGGGTCTCATCAAGTTGCTAAGTTGCCCAGGCTGGGCTCAAACTTGGAATCCTTCTGCCTCAGCCTCCTGGAGTACTAAGCTTATAGGCATTTGCCACTACTCTCGGCTCCCAGCTTCATTCTTGAAACTAAGAGCTTTCATTTTGTGCACGCTGTGCTGGGGATCAAATCCAGAGCTTGTTGTATGCTACGCAAGCCCTTTAACCACTAAGCTACATCCCCAGCCCCCAGACTGAGAAATTTTACTGACAGAGATACTTCTTTCTAAGGCCTCAAGGGAGTCCCTAAGACCTATTCTCTACATGAAAGGTGGTGTTTTTATTTTTGAGGTGACAAATAGAATGGCAACATTCCCAAAAGAACATCCTTTGAGTTTAGTTTGATCAAGTCCCTAGTCTAGATGGGTGACAAGGATAAAGGCCACCAATCTCCCGCTGCCAGAACTAGCACAAGATATATGAGAACAGGGCCAGGCTGACAGCCAGACTGAGAACAACAGCCTAGCTTGGGCTCCACCTCCCTGCACCCCCGCCTCACTCAGCCCACTTACCCCTGCTACTTGGAGCTGGACAGGGTCCGTGTGTCTCCGATGCATGAGAGCGGCACTCATCTCGCCCATGCCCATGCCACAGTGCCTGTCATTTATGTCCAGGCTGCCTCCACGACGGTCCTAGAGACGTGCGACAGAAGACCCATCACCCTACTAGCGGGGGCATCCCCTACATGTCCCCCTCCCCCAGAAGCGCTGGCTGATGGAGAGGCAGGTAGAGAGGATGAAGGGACTTAGACTCTGAAGGAAAAGATGACCGGGACTTCATTTGTTCAATTAGGAAATATTTACTAAGGGGGGTGTCTCACGCTTCCATGTCATACGCGTGTAATAAGTGTGTATGTTCCTTTTCCTAGCATTAAAAAAAGAAATATTTACTAGGCACTTACCAGGTGTGGTACTGTACTAGACACTAGCCCTATATTGCTCCAAAGAGAAGACCTCTCCCTCCAGGCAGCTTTCTTTGAAGGGGGCACTACACACACGGAAGTGCTCAGTGAGCCCAGAGTGGAGAGGTCTGCCTGGGTAAATCAGGGCAAGTTTCAAAGAGAAGGCGATGCTTGAACTCCAGCTTAAAAGAGGAAGAAGACTAGCTAGGGATGGTGGAACACACCTGTAATCCCAACACTCTGGGAGCTGAAGAAGGAGGATGGAATGTTCAAGCCCAGCCTGGGAAATTTAACAATTTATTGAGATCCTGTCTCAAAAAATACATAAGTTAAAGAAATAAAAGGGCTGGGGATGCAGCTCAGTGCAAAAGTCCTGTATTCAATCCCCGCACTACACACACAAAAGAAGTGTGTGAGGGGGTGGACGGGCCAGGGAAGGACCTTTCAGGCAGAGGGAACAGCTTATAAAAAATCCACAGAGACAAGCAAAAAGGCACAGTGGGCCATCCAGATAACTAAAGATGATGAGGTATTGCTGAAATGTGTATTTGTGTATGTGGAGGGGGGCAGGTGGCAGGAGATGAGGCCAGGGGAGTCGATATGGGCAGCTCACAAAAGACTTTGTGTGTCCTGCTAAGGAATTTAGGAATGATGGCATCTGGCTGCATTGTCCATCTCGGTAAGCTGCCTGATATCCTATCTGGAACTCCTGGGAGATAAATAAATAAATAAGCAAGGCTCCACTGGGGTTGCTAATCCTTTTTTTTTTCCCTCTTCTCTCCTTGTAGATCTCCACAGCCAGATGGGTTAAGGGGCACAAATAGATGTGGAATTCCGCTGATAGGAAAATGAAGTAACTATTCGCTGAGTCCTTGGGGTGACTGCGCGTGCGTGCGTGCGTGTGTGTATGTGTGTGTATATGTGTGTGTGTGTGTGTGTTTAGGCAGGGACCCATTTAGTTCACAGAGACTTCTTTGCCAAAAGCACGTTCCATATTTTGGCCATCTTGCGGGGGCCAGGACCTCCTTCATGAACGCTGAGACCCAGTGAGATCCAGCCAGGCCTGAGATGTTGCTCCCCTAGATCCTCCTCCCACCTTATCAGGAAACACTTCATGCTCTCCAGATACCTGGTTAAAATGCTGATGTTGTAAGTACCGCTGCTGTGGTAGTGGCTGTGGCCCCGGAGTGAAAGCCTGGGGCATTTGCTGGTGCTGGTGGCTGTGTGTGGGAGGGGGAGGTGGGTGATCTGACAGCTTCCGGTTCATCGAAGGCCGAATTTCTTCTCCCACTGCCCCACTGAGGTGTGGGCCTCCCTGAGCCCTCCGGTCCAAGCTGTTGCCCCGGTGACCCTGGGAAAGAGAACAGAGGTGATGGTGCAACTCCATTCTCCTCCCACATCTCTGGGCTCTGCCCCACCCTTGTGGCAGCTTCTAGACTTTGCTCACTACCTTTGCAAGTAACAGCTTTGCAAACAGCTACGGTGGCGGGTGGGACAGCTCAAAGAGAATTGCTGGTTGGGAACTCTACATTTTCAAAAGTGACCTCTGCATTCTCAGATTTTCCTAGTTTTAGAAGTTACAGTGTCTGGATGACACACTCTTTCCATGTGGGAGCCCTTCTGTCCACTTCTAGTTGCTTTGTTTTTTTCTCTGTGTAATCAAGCTGAAATATTCCATTTTACTGACACAATACCATCCCTCCTTATCATGTTGCCACACTGTTGGGCATCCTGCCCTCCAGATAAGCTCCGTGTGATTTTGAGCAGTCATTTACAGTCTGGCGATGGAGACCCCAACAGCAGCATTCTGGCAGCACCATGGAAACCAGGCCTGCCGCGGAGCATGTGGGGAAGGAGCAAGGACTTTCTTTCTGCTGAAGTAACTCGGGAATCAGAAATACTTTATTGTTATTTTTATTTCACAAATAATTACATAAAGCCCCGGGCTTAGTACATGCCAGCACTTTACAAATATTAACTCACTTAATCCAGTTTAATGCAATTCTCTATTGCCTCTCTTATCTCTAAATGCACCTCCTAGTAAGTTAATATCTCTGTCCATTTTCTGTTTAAAATAATTTACAAAGTCTTGTTTAGCCTTTGTTTCCCCTTCTGAACTGTGTGCACTTGATGGAAACATCTTTTCCTCTTTTGATTGTAATTGCTCAGCTGGTGGCCTGGAAGGAATGGTTTTCTTTTTCTGCCCAAAGCGCTTCAAATAACCTGTAGGACTCCAACTATTCCAGTCAGTGCTTCTTCCTACAATACTTGTCTCATATAGCCATGTGTTTTCCTTTCAGAAATAGTTTATGTATTGTGTGTGTGCTCACATGTGTGGGTATTCACCTATGGGAGGCAGATTACCATTTCCTTGCTGTCTCTTGTGAACCAGATGCTGTGGCAGGACTGTGATGATATTATATTGAATCCCTGAAAGAGCCCAGTGAAGGAGGTATTATTGTTCTCTCTGTTCTATGGTGAGAAAACTGATACTCAGAAAGGTTTCCTAACTTGGGTAAGTAATATAGGCATTTACTGATGGAATCAGGGTTTAATCTAATGCATTTCTTTTTTCCCCCCAACTTTTTTGGGATGCATTTCTATTGAATAATACCGTATTCCCAGCAATTCCAAGAACAAGAATTCTAGCACTGGCTTTCCCCTCCAATATTCCCCTATTCCAACCAAAGGCTGTCAAAAAGCTTCACCTGCTGCTTATAGTCCCAGACCCGTGGCCGATTCAAACTATCCCTGTTTGTACCCTTGATTCCATCCTTGGGCAGCTCCTGAGCTGGGGGCTGCAAACTGTGATGTGGCAATGTCTAAGAATAACAAAATAATAACACTCTGATAAGAGCTAATCTTATGGAATATTTGCAGTGTGATTAGAGATTATACAGAAGATGGGGGTATATTATATTATATTCTCTTACCTTTATAACTTCCTGTGAGATGGATACACCCTTATCCCAATTTTATGGATGAGGAAATTTCCATAGCTAGGAAATGTGAAGCTAGGCATGAAGCTGAGACCTGACCTCAGAGTTATCTGGCTTTTTAGAATGCTCAGCGGACCTGCCCATCAAATGCATTTTCTTGGTTATTTATGTGGGAACTCACACTGATTGAAATCTCTAGATCAAGGTTGCTTGCTGGGCCAGTTGTGTACCTGATCTTCTCGTGTTCTGTCCCTCAGGAAGATCTGCTTCTGTTTGGAGATAGAATTTGTCCTGTAGTAGTCCACCAGCTTATTTAGGGATGGAAACTTCTCAGTCCACAGGAAGTAATTACCCTTGTTGTCTCGCATGACCTTGAAGTGTTGAACATCATCCTCGTGTCTAGAGATAAAGGCAAACCCAAGTTTCATGTTGCACAGTAGCAAATGTCTCTGCCTACAGGGCTGTTTGTACTCAGGGATGGTAGAGTTCTCTTTGGGCAGGAGATGGAGTTGTGGATAACTCGCCCATCACTGCTGATCTAGCCAAGCTTTAGCAGGAGGTTTGTGGGAGGGACCACTTGAGACAGTGGCTACATGAGAGGGAATTTTACACCAGCAGAAGGTAATCAGATGAGCTGGAATCTCTCTTGGAAAATGGAGCCAAAATTAAAAAAAAAAAATTCCAAATGCCTTAAAGATTAAGACATCAAAGACCTTTGGATAATGTTTATTTGAAACATGGCAACAATTGAGTCCTATACTATGCTAAAGACTTGGCAGTGGAGTGGTTTTCAAGCCCCCGCTATCTTTTTGTTATTAGGCATACTTTTAATTGTCTTCTTTAAGCCCATAAGTTAGTACTGGCCACTAAGAAGCCACTCCTTCCACTACAGAAGATGCATTTTCCCTCTACATAATGAGGTCTTCCTGATCTTAGTTTATATTTTGTATAAATAAGATTACAAAGCATTTTTACACTTGGTGGTGGGGGAAAGCATTATATAGAACATAGAGTTTAAGTGGGTAAGACCGGGGAGATCCTTTTAGCCTCATTCATTTTATAGACAAAGATGTTGAGACTCAGAGAGATGCAGGGGCAGAGTTGAGGCAGGAACCCTGAGTCTCTGACTCCAGTCTAGTCAGCTTGGCCCATCATGCATATAAACATGCTAATTTCTTTTCGGTCAGCGCCTTTTGATACCAGTCTGGACTCAAGTGATACAGCAGATTTGTACCAGGGTTAGAGAAATTGGATTTTATCCATCTAGAAAGGGGGAACAGGGTTTATCAGCTTCAGTCTCACTCTGTCACCAAGTCATTCTCTCTTGAATATATTTTTATCTGTCAAACAGGCATACATTTATATCTAAAGATACACAGGTACTCATCTACCATCTCCCAGACACAGAATGTGGAGTGTGAAACATTAGCCCTTCCACTTCCATAAGCTTCAAGGGTGGAAATCAGAGATGTCCCTAGTGATAGGTGCTCTACGGACAGAGAGTAACCATTGACTCAAATCCTGGGCATCCCACAGCAAAGGATGTAACTCGGGATTCCAGACCCCAAAGTCTAGTGCTTCAGACCCTTAACAAGTGCTAAGTAATAGAACTACGGTGAGTCTTAATACTAAGCCCATGACAGAAAGCAGATGTAACATAAACGCAAATGATTTTGCATTGGAATATATTATGTTCCATTTCTGCAGAAGACAAACAGAGATTATGAAAATAATCACAATAATAAGAGGCTGTGCTGCCTCAACACCAGGGTGACTTTGGCAGAGGACAATGACGGCTGGTCTCTAGAATTCATTTCAATCAAGGAAATACAAACCTTAATCCCTAGCTGAAAAAGTCAGGATCACAGTCATGCAAACCAAAGGCACAAGAGATGACCATCAATCTAACCAATTACTCAGTCCAGTTTATAATTGGAGTCCTTTAAAAACAGGTTTGACTTGTGAGGTTTATTAACGGCAAAATTTCATTAAGACCTAATACATTTAGAATTTGTGATACTTCAAGTTTGGTTTAAGCTGATGCTTGCCATAAACTCCAGAAAAGCAAGTTTTAGTTCAGGAAAATTAAGAGTTTGAGCAAAATTATAATGGTAATGCTAGAGAAACCAAGTTAGCCAGGTAAGGTGGCACATGCCTGCGATGCCTCTCTGGAGGCTGAGATGGAAGGACCTCATTATTTGTAAGCCCTTCCTCTCTGTATGAAAAAATGTCTATTCTTTCTAAATAGGAAAGCAGTCACATTTTATGACCTGAGGTTGGATTTCTGTATTTGAAGCAGTAAAGCTTCACACATTTTAATATTGTTGAATAATCCAGACCAGGATTTCTTGCCAATGAACTGTACAGGTTGTCAGGCCTTCTTCTGGTCTACTGTCAGGATTGTTTCTTTTCCTTTTGTGTGTCACCAAGTCTGACTTGCAATCCCTCTTACGCTGACCACATGCACTGTGTTCAGACCTCAGGCCTCACAGTTTGGGGCTGTGTCATGTCAATGCCTCCTGAGCCACTTCCTCCCCTGGGTTGCACAGGAGTGGCATTTTGCAGTGACAGTCCCCCCACCTGGGCCCTGCTCTGCTGTGCTGTTGTTCGGTTTCACTGCACCACAATATGTTGAAGCCACCTTGCTTTGTGTTCATCTATGTAAATATCCGACAGCGGCGACTTGGGATTTCTACTCTTTTCTGACCCTTCTGCAGTCAAACATCAGCAGTAATAGAAAAGGTTAAGATCTAAATCCCCGGATGAATATGGTCAAGTGGAGCTCTCCTTTCTTTGCTTCTCACCTCCTCCCTTCCAGAAATGCTCCTTGATCATCTGTTCTGTGGCAGACTCTATGATGAGCACAAAGACAAAGTAGATAAAAATCCTGCCCTCCCGGCCCGGAAGCACCTGGGTGAGAGGGGGAGGCAGACCAACGCACATGGGTATAGTTTGGGATACAAACAAACATACTAAGGGTTACGGATGCATGTTCTGAGAAGGAAGTGGGCAGCAGCACAGCTGATAAGACATCACCGTGCTTGGTTGCCTTAGCCACCACGCTTCCGATCACTGGGTCATATTGGAGAAGTCACCTCACAGCTTTAAAAGTCTGGGAAGTTAGAAGGATCAGGGTGGTGTCAGGAGTGACCAGTACCTGACAGAGATGGAGAAGTCTCCTGGAGAGCTCTGGCTGGCCCGGATGATGAAGAAACCAACCTCCTTGCCCATAAGTAAGTTCTCTGCCTGGTGTCTTGAGAGGCCTTCATGGAACCACCTATCAGGGAAGATAGGACAAAGAGGATCGTGACGAGACGCATGATGATGAGGGAGAAGTGAGAAAAGGTGACCCAAGACAGGGAGTCTGGGGACCTGTTCGGGGGAGCAGAGAGACCTACCTAAGGGTGGGGATCAGGAATACAGGTGCTTTCTGAAACCCAACAAAAGCTCCAGTAGTTTTCAGGAAAAGTGAGTGCATGTTCCTCCTGACTCTCCCTCCTTTGTTTCTTCCCTCCAGGAGAACGCTCTCTCCAGCTTGGAAAACTTGAATCATGGAAATGTGCTACAGCACCGAAATGGGGCTGTGTGGGAGTGACTCACTGTGGGAAACAGCCGCCTGCCTGCACAGCTGTGTGAGGTGTAGCAAAGAACTGCAGGATGGATGATGCCCAGGGAGGAAGGGGTCACCGTGGGCACCAGGACCACTGGGCAGCTGGTGGGGTAGCACCTGGGGTGCTTACTCCAGGCCAAGACATCAGTGGCCCAGAGATCCCCCGGGGGCATTGGAGGAGAGTTACAGCCCAGGGGCTAAGTGAGCTTCACAGAGTACATGCGAGCTCTGCCCAGGGTTTCGGGCAGCGGGTGCGAGGTGCCAGGGGGCCATGTGCACGCTTGGAGATGAGTCAGACTGGCAGCAGTTGGTGGGCAGCATCTATACAGCCAGCCCTTTCAGATTCCTTTTTGGGCAATTCCTTGTGCTTTTGGATGCTGCCACCCATAAACATCCAAGCTGGAAGATCGTCTTTACCACGGAAACAAAGAAATACGACTGCATTGTCCAAAGTGCCATACAGGTGGCAGGCTCTGAAATGTTGCTGCACACAGCATGGTGGGTGTGAAAATGTCACACACACGGGGCAATGCAAAGAGCAGCCACAGCCTCAGGGCAGGAGGTCAGAAACCTCTCTCAAACACAGAAAAGCGAAATGAGTGTTTGCAGTCACTCAGCAGCCAAAGGTAGGGCAGTAGCACGCTGCTGCAAGGTGGCTGCACTAATTGCTGCCACCAGGGGGCTGATGCACTCTGTTTTTGTCTTTTCGAGACAGGGTCTCACTGTGTAATGCAGGCTGGCCTAGAGTTCACTGTGTAGCCCAGGTTGGCCTTGAACTTGGCAATCCTGCTTCAGTCTCCCAAGTGCTGGGATTACAGCAGCCAGAGCTCAAAGAAAACATTTCACAAGATGGTGACAACAGGCAGTTAGGGGGCTTTAGGAAATATATTTGTTCTTGAACTGGAGTTAGATATGTTTTTTTTTTTTATTTTTTTCCAAGACTTCCAAAAATGTTCACACACTCTGGATTAGTGGCCAGGGTTTTAATGCTCTATATCATTCCAAAATTACTCATTTAGCAGCTTCTGTTGAATGTGTAGCACTGAGCCAGACCCTCTTCCAGGCACCAGTGGGCAGAACAGACAAGTCACCCCACTCTTAGGGAACTGACATTCTGCGGGGGAGGGGGAGGTTGGGAGATACATGATGAACAACAGAATAATCAAATACATGGTACACCAGAGGATGATAAGCACAGTGCAGAAATGAAAACTAGGAGGAAAAACAGGGCAGGGAGGTTTAGGGAGTCCTTTAAAATAGGTGATGAAAAATACCTCACTGAGAGGGGACATTCTAAACCTAAAGGAGGGTGGAGGGGTGGGGAGGACCCAGCAAAGGAGCCCAGGAGGAGCAGCCAGTGAGGTGGAAAGACCACAGGGCAGTTTGGGAGGAAGAGTGGCCCTCGGGTCAGATGAGGAACAGGTTCCAATAGGAAGGAGAGATCCCGAGGTCCTGTGGTAGTGAGATGATGGCTTAGAATGGACCACTGAGACTTGTAGTGTGCCGTGACCTTGGTAGAGGTTTAGAAGAAGTCTGGGGCTTTGAGAGAAAAGGAGGTGCGTAGCTGGAAATATTGTACGCTGACAAATCTTTTGAAGAAATGAAGTGGGAGTTGGAAGGGACTGGAGACTGAGAGTTTCTCTGTTGGTTTTTTTTGTAAGATGGGAGGATTGCAGCATATGTACTTGCTAATGGGAAGCATCCAGCAGAAAGGGAAAGAGAGTAGATGTGGGAGAGAGGAGAGAATTTCTGCTAGAAGCAGTGACAGTTCCTTCCAGACAGCTGCAGGAAGGCAGAGCCTCTGAGCACAGTTGCAGGGGTGGTGGATGTGGCCCGGGCGGAGCCATGCCGGGTAAAGGAAGGGATCAAGGAGGTCTCTTCTGGTAGGTGGGCTCCAATGTGCAGAGAATGTGGAAGTAAGGCCAAGGGATGAAAGGGAGGCAGGGGGAGGGCCTGGAAGCACATGGAAGGTAGGAGCGGTCATCCAGTCAAGATCAGTGGTCGTTCTTCTGCTCAGTACTGGGTAACCGATGGTGGGGTTCTGCACCTCAGTGGAGTCATCATACCACTTTGGTTTTCTAACAGACTTTTGCTCTTTGGGCTGGCCCCAGGCTCTGAGACAAGATTAGATTTCTATCTATCCCTTGTGGTCAATTCTTGAGACAAACGAGACCCAATCTCAGTGTTTCATTTCCTCTTTCTGGCAGGAATTTCCTCCTTCCCCCTACTGACTTCTCTCACTGGGGTGAGCCTGCTTTAAGAAAGGAGGGAGTGTCCATAAGCCTATCCCTGGCTAAAGTGGAAGGTAAGTCTGGGTGGTAATGCAGAAATGCCTTGAGTAGCAGCTTTGGAAGTGGGGTGGCCAACAGCGCCCCCTTCGGAACTTTTAGAAAGTTGGCAATCACAGTCATTATAGGTGATTTTATGAACTTATTTTATAAAAACTCAAAGTAGATGATACATGCACATGGTATAAACTTCAAAAAGGAATGAAACGAAATGCAAATCTTCTTCCCACTCCTGGCCTTCCATTGTGTGGTTCTGAAGGCTCTGGAGGGAGACCTCCAGAGACCACAGGTTTTGACAGTAACTTGGGTATGCATGGATAATTTTAGTGACAACTGAAAAAGTAAGGGGAGAGCATGTGTGGGTAGAACAATCTCAGCAGGCTGGAAATACTTACTCAGGAAACTGGATGTCTATAAAATTTTTGGGCACGTATCCTTCGTGGCTCCCAAGCTCTGCCTTGAACCACTCCTCTTGGTTACTTAAGATCTATGGAAGCGAACAAAAGACAAAGCTATTGCAGGGAAGACACCAAAAAAGCAAGAGGAAGGGGGTCTAGGGCAAAGAACATCCTTTTGGACTTAGAGGGAACTTTTGGGGGGCATAATTAATGACAGCTGCTGTAGGAGTTATCTCAGTGGGGGAGGGAGGAATGCCGCACACTCAGGCCACCTCACCATGGCCTGGCTTTCCAGACCCAGCATTCAGGGACTCCTCTGAATTGCTTTCTCCTTCTATTTGGAAACTTACTTGTTCCAGATCTTAGCAGCACCTTCAGTTCCTTATTTGGGAAGATGGTGGGAAGGCAAGAATGGTGTTTTCTTCTCTTGCACATAACGAGGAAACTTGCATAGATTTGATTTTTCCAAGCACATAAGATTAAATCTTAGACATCCAAGTGGACCAGCTTTGAAAACAGTAACTGTTTTTGTTCACACTCTGGGTTTCACAAATAGTTGGGATAAGATTCAAGATACTTGGGATGCCTTTTGTAAACTTGCTTTTAGAGCCAGTAAAACCAAAAGTTTTGTTACTGTATGGTTTTATCTGCAACTTGTCACCTACCTCTGTTACCCATATTACTCACCAGACTTGGCTCTATGCAGCGGATAGTTATTTCAGAAAACGAGATTCACCGTTAAAAGAAAAATATTTGCCACCTCCACTGAGAATGTTTCTAAAGTGTGTGACATAGATCTGAGCAATAATTCTAATGAGGATGGAAAGCAGAAGATGAACCCTGCCGATGCCAGTGAGCCACTGAATGAAACATGCAGGAGTCCTCCTACTTCTAGGCTTTGAAAAATAGTAACTTTATTGTTTAAGCCATTTTTAGCTTCTGTTTCTATAAGCTGAAGAGCCTTAATGGTTCAAAGTACTAAGATAGAGGGGAAAGCAGAGGATGGACAGGAAAAACTACCTGGAAGAGAGGCCATTTGTACAGGCAATGAGTTACTTGGTGAAGGCAGATGGCAAAGGAACCACTTCTAGGACACAAAGGTGGTGCCCTCTGGGAACTGTGCCTCCGTATGGCTGGAGTTTAGATTGTGAATCCAGGAATAGATAAAACAGAAGTCAGTGGCTCCCAGGGCCTGGGACTCATGTTGAAGGTTTGGATTTTCTCCTGGCATTTAGCAGGAGCCATGAAAAGATTTGAAGCAGGGATAGAGCAGTAAGAATAAGAGTTAAAGAAGAGGTCTATACCAGAGTGTAGATGAGCTGGGGCAGGGGGTGTAAACTAGGGGAGGAACTGGAGCAAGATGAGCGTAATCCCTTGGAAAATAGAAGATGGGGCCGGGGCTGGGGATTTAGCTCAATGGTTCTGGCGCCTGCCTCGAAAGCGCAAGGGCTCAAGTTCAATACCCAGTAGCAAAAGAGGAGGTAAGGACATATTTTAGAGGAACCAAACAAAAAACAGGCAGGATTCTGGGACCATTCTGGGAGCTGAGGGAGAAGGAGATTCTGGAGGACTCTGGATTCCTAGCTTGGGAGACTGAGTGGGTGGTGACGGCTTTACTGAAATAGAAAGGAGGAGGAGGAGGAGGGGCAGGAGAGACTCATGGACTTAAGATCGTACTTGAGTGAATTCAGCTAAGAAGAGAAACCCAGTGATGTGTGTGCTGGACTCAGGAGGGAGATGGGGACTGGGAGTTTAGAGTTATTCAAAAGGAGGAGGAGTTGGCGTTGTGGGTCCCAGGGGTTTCTTCCTCCCAGAGAAAAAGCTGGGAAGAGAATTGCAGAGAGCTACATGCAGTGATGAAGTCGAGGAATAAGCAAAGTAATGATGACCTACTTCTAACATCACTTCGGAGGTGGAGGAAAGCAGAAAGCATTGAGTGTGGAATGGGAAGACCTCATTTCTAGCTCAGCTCTGTCACTAGCTGTGTGACACTGAACAGGTGAATGAGCCATCTGAAAAATGGGGAAATCAAGAACCTCCAGCACCTCACAGAGCTGATGTGAGCGTCAAACGAGTCCGGGTACCTGAAAGTCCTTCTAAAAGCATATACTCTTTTTTAAAACATATATAGTTCTGTCAAATATGATATTCTGTTAAATATTGTGAGGGAGGACTCCAGCTCTGAAGGACATGGAAGGGTTTTCATGACTTTATAAAGCATGATGTACATGTGTTTTGAAGATGCTCATTTGCTCTGAAGAAATAAAAGTCTGCCCCATATTTGAATTCAAGAATTGCTGAGAACAGAAAACTTTATAGTTTCTTACATCAAATGTGACTGTTGGTCTCACTAAGGACGTGTGGGTATGTGTATGCTGAGGGGGTGGTGGGGGAAAGCAGAATATCTAGGTCAAAGGAAGCACCAGGAAACAGCAGCAGCGCCTCACATCCAGTTAAGGAATGTTTGAACATTTCTCTTGGTGCCACCACTCCTGGATTTACAATTTTGGAATCTCTTTCTCCCAAACATGGTGTTTGGCCAGGGTAGCAAATATCAAATCCGAAGGTGAGGTGGAAGGGGCCATTTGGAAATTAGCTTATTATACTACTAACTGTACTTTATACTTTGTTCTCTGACCGGAACCAGCTGTAATTTTAGTAATCATGGCTCAGACCCATCTAACCACCTCCTTTAGAAACAGATTATCTCCTAATGCCGGCCATTTGTCTCCACCACCTGGTGCTTGGTCTGCCTGAGATTGTATTTCCAGAGAGCTGAATTTATAGGCTTTTTGTGGTGTGTAAAAGGCAAGATCTTGAAAAAAAAAAAAAAACAACCACTTTTTCTGTAAAGAAAAGTATTTGGGTGGTGGGAGGGGGTGGTTTTCTACTACCGTTGCATGCCCAGAGCCCTGTGACTTCCTGTTCTTCTCATCTCTCCATCAATTCAGTTCTCCCTATCTCTTTATCCATCATGTAAAACCAAGTAAGGAGTTCAGCTTAAACCCATGAAGTCTTACACTGAAATTGTGGTATCTTACTTCTTAAAATGTTCCTTAGGAGAATAATTTTCTGGGTTACATGGCCTGAGAATAAGTTATACGTGGGAAGAGAAAGACCAAAAGTACAGCTGGAAAAAAATTTTTTTTACATTGGGTGGAATTACTGCTCTGAGAGGCATAGCAGAAATCCGAAGTATCGAGGAAGTTAATTATATAGGATTAACTCTTTGTGCTTTGGGGCCACTGTTTTAGGTAGAAAGAAATGGGGTTGAATTGGACACACCACAGAAGCAGGTAGAAATGGACTGGGCCAAGAGAAATTTTTCTAAGTGATTGGCAAAGTTCAGTTGCAAATTTCAACGTAAGTCTGGTACTGTGCGTAGCTACAGGTATGGAGGTTTGTGATATGAACATGAAAAGCCAGATTCCTGACTTTCCAAATGTTTCTCCCAGGAAAAGAGAGATGAAATCATTCGGCAGGGGTTCCCTGTCTGCCATCTTGTTTACCATTCTATGCAGATCAGCATCTACTAAGCACCTACAGTTTGGACTGAGGTGCTGTGAATACGGAGATGAGTCAAGCCTTACACCATGAGAAACATATTGTCTGGGGAAGTGGGTTGTTGGTGAACTAGCAAGACCCTTTTTTATACTTTTCTAATGAAAATCTCTGTTTCCTCTTATCACCAAAGACTGAACAAGAGAAAGGGGTGCCCCAAAATGAATTGCTGGGGCATTTAAGAGATGGCTTTGAAAATAGTTGTGAGGTTCCTGTGTGTGTTTCCCATTTCAGGATGGGAGGAACTGACACTGCACTTGTAGTCAGGGAGCCATGACACGGGCATTAATGGCTATCATTTGACATTTTGGGAGCTCAGTTACATGCTCTGCACTTATATCTTTACCACTTCAGCTGTAATGGGCAGAATTCAAAAAGAGGAAGGGGGTTGGCTTTGGGATGGAATTCTAAACGAGCATGCAGAAATGCAATTTAGCAATTCAAAAAATACACACTGGGTAAACTATCCAGGGCCGTGACTTTGTTAGATGCTGGGAAGACACAAAGATGCACCAGACACGCTCTCCTCTCAGGGAGCTCGCCAGTGGAGGAAGCCACCACTCACCCTCCATCAAATACTGGGGAGGGATGACTTTCTGTTATTGGGGTCACTGAGGAAGACCCAGCCCCTGCCTTTACAGAGCTCAAATGGGTGGGTAGCCAACGCGGAAGGAGACAATTAGGAGCCCACAAGGTAAGGGCACAGTGAAAGATGGACCATAGAAGCACAGCCCGACTATATATAACTGCCAGGTGAGGCAAGACCATGAGTGCCTCAAAATGAAATATGTGTGTGAGGTGCTGGGGAAGAGCTGAAGATGGAGGAATTATTTTGCTGGGTGGTAAGGAAGGAGGAGGATCAATGAAGGTTGCACAGCAGAGGTGATCAACTATGTGTGTGTGTGCAGAGCCTAGGGGAGAGCCTGGATAGCTGGTGTGTATGTTGCAGTGGAAACCAGGGCCATCATGTACACAAAAATGCATGTGAGCACAATGAGGTTGGACAGAGCATTGGGGGCAGATGGTTAGATTTCAATCAATTGGTAATGAAGAGCCACTGAATACTTTTGATAAATAAATGATATGATCAGATTTGTCTTTGAGAAAAATCCTTCTGGGACTACATGTGGAATGATTGAAGAGGGAAGAGACAGGAGGCAATGAGGTCAGCCACGGGGTTTCAGCAATATATTGAGCAGGCTGAGGGAGTAGGAATGAATATATTGATAAAACAGTGACCATTTATTGAACATCTGCTTTGGTCCAGGCCCCTGCAGTACTGATTCTATCTCCACTGATAGAAGAAGTCACTAAAGCTCAGAGGAGCCAGGCAACTCAGCCCAGGCTCACACAGCCAGTAAACTGCAAGTTGAAACCATTTCTAGTTAGCCGACAAGCCTGAGCTCCTTTTTACTATATTGTTTTTGTAGCAAAGAAGGGACTTAAGAGACAACAGGAAAGAACTACTCAGAGCAGAGTATAGTGAGTGGTTAAGGTACAGTGTTCAGAAAATAGCGTTCAGACAGAGCTCCACCCAGACACGGGCTTAGATGCAGTCTACTTGTGTGACCTTGGGCATGTGATTTAATCCCTCATCCTCAGTTTCACATTTGTTAAGTGGAAGGAAAAAGTACTCCCTACCTCATGCATTTGCTGAGCTGATGAAATAATGCCTATAAACCACCTAGCCAGGTCCCAGCCCTGAATAGGAGCTCGGGAGATGTTGGTTCCTGATCCCCTGGTTGGTTTGGCCAGGGTGAGTAGAGATGACTATGGAGGCTGCTGTCTTGGTGACTGACCTCTGGTAACACTGAGAACATGGATAGGGGGTGTCACGGTTGGGTCTGGAATGTCCCCGAAGGCTCACGTGTGAAAGCCTCGGTCTGATGATGCTATTGAAAGGTGTTAAAAATTTTAGGAGGTGAGGCCTAGTTGGAAGATGTGGGTCACTGAGGGTATGCTTTTGAAGGGTATATACTGTCCCTAAACCCTTCCCTCCCTCTGTCTCTCTTTGCTTCTTGGTCACTACAAAGTAAGCAGATTTGCTCTGCCATGCTGTTCTCATGGCAGCGAACATAGGCCTCATCATAGGCCTAGAAACAATGGAGCCAGCCAACCATGGACTGAAACCTCTGAAACTGTAAGCCAAAATAAATCTTTTGCTCTCCAAGTTGTTTTTCTTGAGTATTTTGTCACAGTAATGGGGAAATTGGCCAACAAAGGGGAGTAGTTTGTGTGGAAACGGGGGCTGAAAGTGGACGTCGAGTTTCAGTGGGTCAGGGACTGGAGTCTAATGGTGACATTCATCAGACAATGGAAATGTGGGTCTGGGACTCAGCAGAGAGCCAGAGCTGGAGTGGGAGTGTGGACTTGAGTGAGGGTAATTGGCACACAGATGAAGGTGAAATCAGAAGGGGATGAGATAGCTCAAAGGAAAAAAGAACAATCAAAATGCTAAGTGCAGAACCTCAGGGAAGCTAGTTTCTCAGGCCAGAGAAAGGAAAGAAAGACTCAAAAGTGAGACCTGGAGGAGGGCTCAGGAAGAGAGAAAGAGCACAAGAGTGTAGGGGGCCCCCCAAGCAAAGGGAGAGAGCTCCAGGGGAGGGTAGTCAACAGAGTCACATTCCACAGGTAGGGTTGTTAGAACTCAAAGGAAAGAAGTCATTGGTGGGCTTTAAAAGGTAAAAGACAGATTTCAGAGGGGAATGGGCAAAAAATGGAAGGTGTTCAGTATTGAGACCTTGTCCCACTTTTGGCAATAAAGCAGACAAAAGAAAGTAGGAGGGGATTAGGATGTAGAGTTTTTGTGTTTTCTTTTTCATTTTTCTGGGGGAATAAGGACAAGTCAAGCAAGATATTAATTTTTGTTTGTGATGAAAGTGAGGGTAGAAGCTGGACCCAAGCCTCTTCTGAATGGAGGATGCCCCAGTGTGGTTGACAATTACATGGTCACCAGATAGCAAGTCCCTTGGTGACCTTGGTAAGGTCCAAAGAAGTCAAAGCCCTTTTAGCAGTTACTTTGAGCTTGCAAATCTTCAACACTGAATGCTATTCTTTGCAACCCTATCACTAGATATTCTGAGTGGAGAGCAGTTAGAAGGCTATGGACTGAGGATGTTCAAATTCCAAATGAAGCCATTCTATATGACTTGTGCTCCAAGGACACTTTCTAAGTCACCCTTTCTCCTGCTAAGGCTCTTTGTATAGCGTATGATTCTCCCTGGTAAGATAAGGTTGGCCTTGGTGCTGCTGGGCACCTGAGAAGGCCCATCTGAGATGCTAAGGACAGGGACCATCCTCCCTAAGGTGCTCTGAGGCCAGGCAGAAGAAGGATGGCATCACATACTCCCAAATACTCTCTGGAAGGACTTGCATTCTTTTGCCAAAAAAGGGTGGACTTTAGGAGACTTATATGCATGATGCCTGGAAATGTGGGAGGAGCCCAAGGCCACTTCAGCTTCACAAGTGGCCACTGGAGCTCAAGTGCAGGCTACAGACAAGTTTTAAGGAGCCTCTGAGTGGCCAGGTGTGCTTGGCCTTTGCTGAGCCACACTGGGTCCAGCTGCCTCTCCCTGGCTGTGCTTGTTGCACTTAGCATGGTCATTCACATCTCTGAGCTTTAGCAAAAGGCCCAAAAGACTTGTTGCATTCCTAACATTCACACTGCCCACACATTCCTGCAACCCTCACCTTTCAAAGTGTAATCACTTGTCCCCCCACTGAGCACTAAGCCATGAGAGTGTGACAACCCTTTTGATGGATGTATTCCTTTTCCAGACCATGAGGATCTCAGGACAAGGATGGCAACTTAGATCAACTCCGTATTTCTGTCATCTGGCCTGGTGTTTGGCATGTGCGAGTAGGAGAAGAATCTGTTGGGTGGAGGAGAATTTCTCTTTCTAAAAGGAACTATGTGCAATTTCTCATGGACAAAGACTTGGACTGTTAATCTCAGTGGCCAGACCAGTGGTCAGTGAAACTTCCTTTGGCTCCCCTGCACCCCATCCCGCATTACCTACCTTTAGGACATCTCCTGTGTGAAAGCTCAGTTCATCCTCGCCAGAGGCCATGAAATCAAACTTGGCGACTGCTTCCATGTTGTGATGCGAAGCTGGAAGAGAAATAATGCGGTCATTGTGCCGTTTCACCAGGGGAAGGGCAGTGGAACAGATGGTCCTGCCTGGCAGTCTCAGCAGTTGGTAGGACTTGGTTTTCAGCAAGGGCTTGTGTTTGCAGCTAGAGCTGCAAGAGCCTTTGGGATCTGGTTCCTGGGATCATTCTCTGAATCCCCAGCTGCCAGGAGCTGGGAATTCAGGCCAGCAGCAGCCTTTCCCCTCTCCTTTTATCTGGCTTGGCCTGGTCTGGCCTGTCACCACTGCTGGGGCATCTCTGTTTCCAGTTGATAAGGACAGAAAGCTTGCTATCAGCTTGAGGCCCCAGGGGCTAGGAAGACTGCTCTGTAAACACTGTCCTGAGGCTGTCCCTTGGCAGCTATATTTAACCAGGCAGTGTTAATTAGACAGATGCCATTTTCTCTTTTACATCTGAATCATTTAAGAGAATTAGATAGCATTGGCCAGTGGGGAACTGGAAGTTCTTCTGTACTTTCAGAGTAGGGAGCAGTTTGGTCTTTGCACCGGGAAATTTAGAGCTTGGTTAGATTGTTATGTCGGTACAGCATAAATGAAATTTTGATTTAATTTTTCTAAACTGAGTTAAAACCCTGACCCCTCCTAGTAATCATGGGTTCTATGTAAAGACTAATGAGTCAGCTTATGTACTACACTGAATATGAAATAAAGTTTTTTTTATTTTTCTTTTTGTTTGCCTGTGGAGATGTCATAGAAAAAGCAGGGCAGAATCCTTGTTTTGCTGGTAAATAGCTGTATAATCCTGGGCAACCTCTTAAACCTCTCGGAGCCTCAGTTTCCTCATCTGTAAAATGGAGATTGTGGGTTGAAATTAACAGATACAAAGTATTATATAAGATAAGTACACAAGGAATATGTATGTTTTAAAATAAATTTCTGGAATGAATCTTTCATATATCTGGCAGCCTGGCCAGATATAGCACAAGTTTCTTCTGATATCTCTCATTGCCTATAAACTTTTCTCACTGTAACGTGACATTTAATCTCCAGAACTATCAAATCCTTTGATTCTGTGCTAAGACAGCTTACTGTCAGGGCAGAAACTGGAAAGCTGAGGCTTGGTGTTTATGTTTTTCAAAATTTCCCTAAGTCTTGGCCACTTTCGGTGAGTTAATAAGTAACCCTCAAACCCAGTGGACTTTCAGTGATCAGTAAACTGGGGCCACAACTGTTTTCTCAGTGGGAATTTCTGCCCCAGTAGACAAGATTTAGGTAAATAAGGCAGGTGACAGCAGGCGGCAGAGCGTGGCAGGGAGAGCTCAGAGGATTAAAGCCGACTGTGACAGTGATAGCAAGGGGCTCATGTCTCTGATATTCCACATTTGCCTGGTTTCCTAAGGGCAATTTGGAGTGATGGATATTACCAATCCAAAGGTAGATAGATATTAAGCAAAAAATAGCTCAGGAGTCAAGTAAAATGTCATAGTTGACTCTCTGAGCTTTCTTTTTTCTTTACTTATTTCCAAACAGCAACAACACAAAATCACTTTTTGTGCACTTTCTTCAAGATTGGTTTATCGGAGGCAAATTAACATTTTCATGACTTTGGCTGACTCACTGCACAGGAAGGAGCGTTGTGCTCTTCTTCCTTAATGCTAAATGCCTTTGCCCGTTTGATTGACTCTGTTACATTAACATGCAAAACTTTTCCTAATTAAGGCCTTGCTATGGTTTGCAGGGGGACTGGCTTCTGTCGGTCACCCTCACTGTACCCACAGTAGACACTGGTCACCTCTAAAGACCAAGTGTCTGGTGAAGGGTCCTGAAAACTACGATCCCATTTCCACGCAAATTTACCTTAATGAGCAGCATAGAGACAAAAAGGAGGGCAAATGCTAAACATGTCAGAAAGTCACATAAATTAGATTTTAAAAAGGAGAAACATCCAAAGCATGTTGTAGGTGTGACCTTGAGTTTGGGGAGATCTCTCTGATATTACTCATAGCTTGGCTCAGTTCTGGGCGCTTGGTCCAGGCTGACTGTAGATCACATGGGTGAGAAGACCAAGGCAGACATAAAATTACTTCTAAATAGTGGTACTTCTTTCCTGGTTCCCCCAGGAGTCAGGCAGTGCAGCAAAGCCTGGGGCACAGGCATATCACAGAGCTCCCCAGCTTGTAATATTAATCCTGGCTCCAAAAACCCAATTAAACAAGCCTACTCTTCATGAAATCACTTTGCAAAAAATGTATTTGCTCCCATTTCCATTTATGAAATGAAATCTGTTCAGCTGCTGGTTGGTGGGAGGGAGATGTGCAAGGTAGGTTGGAGTAGGCTCTGTTTTTGTTCGAATCCCAGGGCTTCACAAACTCCTTTGAAGCAACCCTAATAGCAGAGAATGGCAAATATGTCACCCCCAGGGGTTAGACTTCTGTCTGATCATTGAAAGGCATAGAAATTTATGTCCTTATTTTTCTATATCCATCAGTATTCATTTTGAAAAGTTTCAAAAGTGCCACCAGGGAGAAGAAAACAGAACTAATACAGTTTATTCTGTATGTATCGATTTGTTGTATAACCTGTACCTGGCACCATTACATATTACATCTGGGGAAAAATATATGATGGAGAGAAAAATGGGGCAGCAACAATTCTGAAAAGGGGTGGAGGGGGAGGGAGGGAGGGGGAGAGAGAGAGAGAGAATACAATGGTGCCTTCTCGCTGCTGTTTGTAATTTTAGTCTTCTGATCTCTGGAGGAGGGGAAGAGAGAGAGAGAGACCCCCTTTTCAGAAAGCCTCAAGGATGGCCATGTGCTTTCCCTGCTGGTGATCAGCTATAGAAATGGCTGAAATGCCACCTGCCACACAGTGTGAGGAGCTGCAGCCTCCAGGGGCAGCCCAGCCACCTCCAGCAGCCCCCCTCCCCCAACCCAGCTGATGGTGCCATTTTGGGGCCCTAATGCCAGCTCTGCTTCTCACCAGCCCTTTGCTGCTCTCTCACGCATCATCCATTAGCAGCGCTACAACATAGACCTGCCTCACTGCGGGGTGACGCCACACCGGACTGCCCTGACGTGATTTTCTCTGCCCTTCCGTTTCCGTTTAAGCTTCTTTTACCATTACAAAAAAAAAAAATCTGAAAAATATTCAGGTTATACACCAGGAATATTTGTCTATTTCTAAATTACAGCCCACTTGGAGGATGAAAACAAAAAACAGGAGACAGCTCTTTAAAATTACCTCCATTTGGATGCCAGATTAAATGGATTTGTTCAGAAACCTACTTATCATCCAAATGGTACTGGGCAAGAAACTTCTTGAGCAGTTTCAGCTCCTCCTAACTTGACTATGAATAGCCAAGGTTTCCATTTTATGTATCTTAAAAAGAGCAATTGCATAACACCATGAAGCTAGGCAAAGATTCCAGCTCAGGACCCAACCAAAGAGGGAGCTGGTCTGAAATTGAATAAGTGATACCACTTCCAATTTTGCCAGGGACAGCTCTAACTTGAATACTTGTCCCAGTTTAGGTTGTAATTTAGATAACATAATGTCTTGCAATTTTAAAGAGAGAAAGAAAGAGACATTGCTTTTTACAAGTATTGTTGGTTGCATATTTATCAGGACATTAGCCACAAATGTAATTTTTTATTGGATTATTTGTGTATGAAGTGAATGATGAAGAATTTACATTTTAGGGTTTTGGCCACAGCTAGGCACTTAGCAAAAAATGTGAAATCATTTAATGTTGCACAATTCAGACACTTAGAACTCACAGTCTTTTTGCTCTGTTTCTTCTTTCCTTTATTTCCCCCACCATCTCTGAGATGGGGTCTCCCTGTGATGGTCTCACACTGTGGGCAGAAGTGATCCTCTTGCCTCAGCCTCCTGAGTGGCTGGGACCACAGGTGCGTGCCCCAGTGTCTGGGGGAATCCACCACCCTTCTCTGGGTCAGGTAAGCCCCTCTTGGAGATAACCAGAGTGCTTCCTCTCCCCATGGAACTGACAAAGTCAGTTATTTCTCAGAAGTAGGAAACCTTACCAGGGAAAAATGATTATAGCTGAGCTTCACTGTACACAATAGGAATGTTCTTGAAAAGTTATTATGAACACAGTATTTGTAAATGGAATCATCTTAACAGGTATTATGGAGGCTCACTCTACAAAGGAACCCTGTGGTGAATCCCTTTATAAAATGAAAAGGAAATTTTGTTATGCAAATAACTTCCTTTTAATTGATCTGTTTTAAAGTCTAGGTTTTCAGGCATTGAATCTTAAAACAGAGCACACCTATATATAGCCTCTAGCTCCCCACATTGGGAGGGCAAATACATATTAGATTTCCCTCTTCTCAACTCTCAAAGCATTTAAAAACACTCTCCTATTGCTAAAGAATATTTCCTCTTGGGGAATAGACAGCATTCACTAATATTCTACAGCACTCCGGTAGCCAGGAAGGTGGCATTAGATAATAAATGAATGGGCAGAGCTGTATTCCAATAAAACTTTATTTGTAGTCACTAAAATCTGAACTTACACAGTTTTTATATGGCACCAAGTATTATTATTTTTACCCTCCCCATTAAAAATGTAAAAGCTATTTTAGCTCAAAACCATGAGCTAATGTGATGGGCTGGGCTGGGCCCACTGGCTGTATGTAGTTCGATCCACACATTTATATTAATGCACACATTTGTAGCTACATCTATATCCTGTCTCCCCCTGTAGTGTACAAGCTTCTTGACAGGAGGGTTGTAGTTCAGTGGATTTAGGAATTGATGGACCTGATTTGAACCTGCGGTGTCACTTCCTGGGTGCCATTGTTGCCTCATCCATAAACTGGGAGCAACCACATTCAGTTTGTGGGATCATCGTGCTTTCATTCATAGCCCTGACACATAGTAGGTGTCCAGTCAATGGTAGTTCTTATTCTTTCTCTGTAGATGTCATGTAATCCCAAGCTGTGCTTTGTAGCCACTTAGTAGATGCTAGCTGAGTGATTGAAAGCATGACAAATGT